TAATATATATATATAATATATATATATATATATATTATAATATATCGTCGGCCGAGAATTCTAACCGTCTAACTCCGAAATGCTTTTGTCCTTAAAATAGATCGACATGACGAATGGCTACGTCCTATTAAAATCTAGAACAATTTTGACAAACAAAAGTCTTTTTTTAAAAAGAAATTATAACCATATATTCCGACTGGCTTCCGTGACTGAAGAATTCTAACCGTCTAATTCGTTTAGGTAGCCCGCCATTGTGGATCACGGCGATAACGTTTTGCTCTGAAAGAGGCGTTTGATTATAAATACAGTAGTCTCCGCCTAGGATCCCAGTGCTCGGGAGCAAGGAAATGCGGGATCTTAGGCGAACCGGGATCTTAACCGACGGACCCAGGGAAGAATCTATGGTGACCCATGCTAAGGCTCACGATCTGTAAAATGGTCTCCCTCCACTCTAAAATGAACTGATGTGACCGTTCGTTGGGTTTATGACGTATGGCGAGCAAAGAGTGGTTAACCTTGATGGCCTATCACAGTGCATAGTGGGATGGGGCGTGCCATTTTCCCTTATTATCCTATCATGAGTCATGAGTCTCAAGATCTATGCTTATCCAGTTGCCCCTCCCCCTTACCTGTCGAAAATTTATAGCTTTCCATCTCTGACTGAGTCCCCCCCCTCCCCCCCCCACAACCGCCTTTGTCGTTACACACAATTACGTGAACACACCAATCAAAATTCAGTCTGTCTCGCTAATTCGGGAGTAGACACAACCACTGCAATGGTCAGGGAAGAGTTCACAGTTCAGTGTGATCCCGCCTGGAGCGAACATGTAGGCCTACCCACCCAGCGTGTGATGTAAGTTTAGGTGGAGAGCTCAGGTGTGAGTGCGATGTTCGGGGAAAACAAACGTGTCGGTCAGTTCACACCCCAGTGTGATCCGGTCTGGGGCAAACATTGTATCACTTCATCGAGTTTTACAATGTGTATGTGATCACATTCACGATAGTGGCTGATCTTTGATGCGACGGACAGTTTATTGATCTCAACTTTTCACACTTGATTGATCGGTGGTCCAGCCCGGGTTTTTGTTCCACAAATTATGATCTGAAATGCGGGATCTTAGCCGAATGTAGACCTTCAGAGTGAATCAGAGCGGGATCTTAGGGGTGACTTTTGTATAGTAAAAATTCTGTTCTCTTAAAACAGCGGGATCTTAAGCGAACCGGGATCGTAAGCGGTGGGATCTTAGGCGGAGACTACTGTAAATGTAAAATCAGAAAAAGCTGCTTTTGTTAAAGGGTTGGTTGACTGTGTCGAGTCTGTGGAGAAAAAGGAGAGAGAAAGCAGAAGATTGTGGTCCATGAAGTGAATGCGAGTGAATGGGGCCAGAGTCAAAGTGTGCAAGGCTTTCTTCTTAAGTCCTGTACTTTGTTACTAGTGTGTTCACATTGTTCTCACTTGTGGGTTGGGAGTAGCAGAGGGTGAGGTTCCAGTTCAGAGAAAAAGGGTTAGGGAGGAGACTACAGCATCAAAGGTACTTAAACAGTTTCTTCGTGATCTGCCCAAGTTGCCATCTCACTACTGCCGAAGGACTCCAGTAAGTTATACTTGGAACCTGTTTTCCAGAGCTTACAGGCAGTGTACCGCCGTTTGTATAAAGAAAAGTATGAGTGGGGGGGGGGGGGGGAGAGTACTTTCTACCTTCAAGTTTAAAGAGGAGATCAATGCTCGAACCTGTCATTGTTCCATCCTTGAAAAGATAGGTGTGATCTTTGTGTGGGCTTTGAGGAGGGGAATGTGGAAGAGGGGGCATACAAAAAAGACAGCAGACAAGGAAAAATGCACGGGAAGCCCCAAAATCAAATACATCAAAATGGACCAGCAATCAGTTCTGCTATATCCAGGCACCAATGCTTCTGCTTTGTACTACAAGACGAAATTGAATGTACACAATTTCACAGTATAGGAACTAGAGAGCAAGGACTGTGTATGTTATGTCTCAAATGAATGCGAAGGTGTTCTGACTGCAAATAAATTTGCTCCTTGTGTGGCTGATTTTTTGTCATCTGATTTGACTCCAGATCATTATATTCAGATGGATGTGGTTGTATCAGAACTGCAAAGTTCTGCATTGTTACATTTCAGCTCTGTAAATGGTAAAACTGTAACATTAAAATTCCTAAAGAAGGGCTATACACAGACTGAGGTGGACAATGCTCACAGCACATCTACTACCCAGCTGATTATGTCAGGCTTATGGAAGAAAGTAGGAAAGTGAAGCCATATGAAGTCAAGTATTTGACTCATTGTATCTTTTCTGATTTCATCAAACTAACCAACCAGAGTTTACACACCAGATGGTCAAATTAAATACAAACTGAGATTTGATGATGACTGGTCACATTTGCTTTTGAAGCGTGGCGAGTCCACACACATTCTCCATAAAGACATAAAGGGACTGCCTCTGTACCAGGGTAGAAAGTTTAATTCGTCCATAGAGAAGTTTAATAACACATGCAAGAAATGAAGTCTGTTGTGCCATCTGACTACCACAAGTTCTATGACAATCTAGAATTGAGTACGTCACCAGTGCGCAAGTTAAAACCCACAGTTAAGTCTAATTTATTATGCAGAGTATTGTGTTTTGGTTTATGTAGTTTATTTTTAGCTAACCAGAGCTTTAGCTTCATTGGGTAGAGCATTTTAAAGCCTCATAATGGTGCTTGGACAAGAGGATAATTCGTTTCTGTTGACACTGGATGCTGCTATGGCATACCTCATCTTGATGACTTTCTATGTAAAATGTGTTCTTCAATTAGGCCATACATTAGGTGGGATGCATTATATGAGGTTTAGTTGAGCTTTAAAAAAAATAATATTACTTCTAGAGTCTTCCAACCAAGTTAAACCATGTTTTTAGAGTTAGAAGCATTTCTGATTCAGTTTCTTCCATTGGAGAACTGATGGGTCGCTTTTCAATCTTGCTCGACTTCGAGCCAAGACCAAAATCAACAAACCAAACAACAATACGAGACCTTTTCTTAGCAAGTGATGCTACTGTTGTCGCTCATAATAAATCAACCCTACAAATAATCCTGTGTTTAAGAAGATTGAGATGGCTGGGCCATGTCAAGAGAATGGACGACAACCGGATTCCGAAGCAATTTCTCTATGGACAACTTGCCCATGGAAAGAGACCAACGGGAAGGTCAAAACTGAGGTACAAAGACATCTGCAAAAACAGATTATCTAAGCTTGGAGTAGATGTCAGCATCTGAGAAGAAATAACCGAGGACAGGAAAACATGGAGGAAAATGATAAATGAAAGAACTATTATGCTAGTGACTAGAGAGCAAGCACTGCGACAGAATCTCCACTTCAAACAGGAAAAATTAGTCATAAAAGAAGCTCCATGAAGACAATTCGTATATGGAAATTCTTCTCTGCCCCCCCCCCCCCCCCCCCTCTCTCTCTTTCACACCCCTCCCCCCCCTCTCTCTCTCTCTCTGTCCCTCCCCCCTTCTCTCTCTCTCAATCTCTCTCTCTCTCTCTCTCTCTCGTAGCTAGACAAGTAACCAATCCTTCTCACAATTTCCTTGAGAATGGAGGATCAAATAATAGCTTTATAGTAAAAACGTAACGACGCACTTAATCTGTGGACAAGCCCATTGCCTAATTAGAATTATGTGGAAATAAAGTGCGACGTTCAGTTTTAGATATAATAACAGTATTATTGTTAGATTCTACATCTACAGTACTATGTAGTTCTAATTAGAACTTTTATAGTAGGCTTCCTATTGGATTGACTGCAGGTGTAGTCATTTCGAGTTGTTTGGTAACATTAACGTGTCACGATGACTGAGTTAGACGTAATGAGGCGCATGGTGTCCCCGCCGGGTTGGAAAATTCTAAACGAACAATTCGTTCGTCGACACTTGGACGCTTAGAAATCCAAAACTGAGCGGTCTATCCGTAGAACTCTGGTTAAGGACTTAAAATAATAAAATTTCGGCAATTTTGTTTTAAATACTTAAACGTAGAGTCATTTATTCCAGTCTAGTGCATTTAAAGACAGTAAATTCCCATAAGAGCCTTTGAATTCAGTTTTTTGTCTCTCCTGCAAAATTTACGAAATCGGAGTCGGTTGGTTAGAATTCTCGGCCGACGATATACATATATATATATATATATAATATATATATATGTTATATTATGTATGCATACATACACACACCCATACATGCACACACACAAACACATACACATATACCGTACATACATACATGCATGCATGCATATACACATACACACACGCATCCCATATTATTATTATATGATCATATCCTACCCAGCCCAAACCTACCCTTACTACACCACACCTCTCCACACCACACCACATCACACATAGTATGTGTACACACATACAGGATACAAAGAGAGAGACAGAGAGAGAGAGAGAGAGAGAAAGAGAGAGAGAGAGAGAGAGAGAGAGGGGGAGGGAGAGAGAGAGAGAGAGAGGGAGGGAGAGAGAGAGAGAGAGAGAGAGAGAGCGAGAGAGAGGGGGAGGAAGGGAGGGAGAGAGAGAGAGAGAGAGGGGGGGGGAGTGAGGGGGAGAGGGAGGCAGATAGAGAGAGAGAGAGGGAGGGGGAGAGGGAGGCGGATAGAGAGAGAGAGAGAGAGAGAGAGAGAGAGAGAGAGAGAGAGAGAGAGAGAGATAGATAGA